GGTCCTAAGTCTATATCTTCGTTGTTATTGGTCCAATTCAAACGGGAAAAACGGCTTTATGAAAGAGACGTGTCGTTAATAAAAGCTTAAGAAAAAAAGCATGCTCAGTAGGAATGCAATAAAGGACCTAAGTCTATATCCCAGCTATTATTGGTCCGATTCAAACGGAAAAAAACAGTAGTGTGTAGGAGACGCTGTTGAAACTGCCAAGTATAATTCTCCATTATTCATCATGTATATTTATTGTGTTTTATTGATTTTATTATTTTGTCACTTATTGACATTGATTGTAAAAATTAAACGATTATTAATATATATTTTGTCAAAGTCTCTCAACTTATTCCTGAGTTATTTCTACAATTTAAAAACCAGGAAGCAAACTGTGTCTTAGAGCCTACAAATCATTTCTATTTGTATTTGGAAAGAAAGGAGGCTGGTACCGTTTTTGGAATGGTAAAAATATTATCGTGTCAAAATATTTTAAGTTAGTTCCTCAAAAAGGTCAAGAAGGAGTTATATTTATATCACCTTTGCAAATAAAGGAAGTATATAATACCTCATTACAAAATCCTAATAAAAATAGTGGAAAGATTGATCAAACTGAAAATAAAGAAATTTAATTTGCCATCAACATCCTATGAGGAACCAGATTTAACATCAAACTCCATTCCATCCAGTTCCAATGAAAAACCAGATTTAACACCAAATTATGCACCCCTTAGAAGCAGCGCAAGAGAAAGTAAACCTCCTATTCGCTATACAGAAGAATTTTGTAATTTAGCTTTAGATGAACCACTTTCATATGTAGATGCTGTTAAAGGACCTGAATCAGATTTGTGGATGGCTGCCATCAATGATGAACTTGAGTCAATGAAGAAAAACAATGTTTGAGACATTGTTGAAATGCCTCGTGGAGAAAGAACCATTGGTTTTAATTTTTTAAGAAAAAGTTCGGATTTAATGGAAAAATATCTAAATACAAAGCAAGACCAGCACAAGGGTATAGTCAAATACAAGGTATTGATTTTAAAGATACTTTTGCTCCCGTCGTGCGCTACGAGACAATTCACATTTTACTTGCACATGCAATTCATAAACAAATGGTTGTCAAACAACTAGATATAAAGAATGCATTTCTCAACGGTGACATAGACTTTAAAATATATATGAAAATACTAGAGGGTTTAAGTGAAGAACCAGGCAGAGTCTGTCTTCTAAAAATAAGTCTTTATGGATTAAAGCAGGCTCCACGTCAATGGAATCATAAACTAGTATCAGTTCTTAAAGGAATTAATCTACATCAATCAATTGCAGATCCATGTTTATTTGTATCATCAGATTATCAACAGGCTCTAGAAATATATGTAGACGAAATATTATTATTAGGAAGTACCGAAGAAAAAACACGGCTAATTGAAAACTCCACAAAATAATTTTGAAGTTACTTTTCTTGGTGTACCAAAATTTTTAATATCGTTACAAATTGAGTGGGGCCCAACTTCTGTATTTATAGATCAAAAACAGTTTATTCTTAAATTACTGGAGAAATATAGTATGTCTAACTGCAAACCTACATCTACACCAATGGATCCAGGTTCCAAGCCATAAAAAGCGAAAGAAGGTGATCCAAGAACCGATAAAAAATGCTACCAATCAAAAATTGGAAGTCTCCTTTATCTCACTACCGGTACAAGACCAGATATAATGTTTGTAGTTAATGTTTTATCACAATTTTCTGTTGATCCCACTGTTACTCATGATAATATAATTCAACATCTCCTACGTTATCTTAGAGGATCAGTAAATCGAAGACTTGTATATAAATACACAACTTCACCATCAATATCCATGTGCAGTGACGCTTCATATGCAAGTTGCATTGAGGATAGACGTTCCTATAGTGGATATATGGGATTTTATCTTGGACCACAAAAAAAACAGCAATCTGTGACAGTAAGTACAACCGAGTCTGAATATATGGCTCTCAGCATAGCTTATAGACAAGCTATTTGGATGCAATATATTATAAAAGATCTTCTTGGACAAACCAAGATACTATTGCTGTGTGATAACCAGGCCGCAATACATATTTCTGAAAATCCAGCTCTTCATCAACGAAGCAAGCATATAGATATTCAATATCATTATATTAGGGAGCGCGTTATGTCCAAAGATATTAACATCGAATATATTCAATCGAAAGAAAATATTTCGGATATGTTAACAAAGCCTTTATCAAGATATTTCTTAAATTATTTGTGTACAAAAATAATGGAGAATACACACGGAGTGAGAGTATTGAAACTGCCCAGTATAATTCTCCATTATTTACAATGTATATTTATTGTGTTTGATTGATTTTATTATTTTGTCACTTATTGACATTGATTGTAAAAATTAAACGGTTATTAATATATATTTTGTAAAGTCTCTAAACTTATTCCCGAGTTATTTCTACAGACGAAACATAGATTAACGCTGAAGAGAAAAATTATGCATTGTAGCAATGTTAAAAGGACTTCAGTCTATATCTCAACTGTTATTGGTCCAATTCAAATATAACAACGGCGCTATGAAGGAAACATGACAACCTTTTTGACTTTGCTACTTCCTATTATTTTTCGCTTCAACGTTATTCTATGTTACGTCTACTACACAGTACTGTTTTACCCGTTAAATCGGACCAATAACAGTATAGATATAGACTTACGCCCTTCTAGATTTGCAATTGTGCGTGATGTTTCTTCAAGTCTAATCTGTGATACGTTTCCTTCATAGTACCGTTTGTTACGTTTGATAAGGATCAATGATAGTTGAGAGATATTGAGATCTACGTCACGTCTTAACAACGTCGTTTTCTCTGTTTAAATCAGATTAATAATAACAGAGATATACACTTATGTCCATTTTTGACATTGCTATTGCGTATAATTCGAGGGCTTAGCGCAACAACCACGTAACCAGTGTTCTGATAGTTTTGAGATAATTGCGCTTAAAAATGATCGCTGCTGGAAAATATTTTGGTATGTAACTTAAAAATAAACTCTGACCATTTTGTGTGTGCAAAAAGAAACCAGCGATCATTTTTAAGCGCAATTATCTCAAAACTATCAAAACATTGGTAACGTGGTTGTTGCGCTAAGCCCTTGAATTGTTCTCTACACTGTTAATCTATACTCGTTTACGTAAACGATGGTGGCCATCTTGGATCGTTTAGCCGAGTCGCAAACCACACATCTAAGTTTCAATTTACAACACTAACAAGCGGGGCCATCAAACGGTGACTTTTGGAAGTAGTGGACCCGTGGCCCTATAGCTCATCTACTAACATCTTCATATTTATGTATTGTAAGGGAAGATATTTAGCAAAATATGTACATATTCATAAAATTCACTTTATCACCCTGTAGAATGAAAATTGGGACGTTCACAGAAAAATTATATTTAGCTTCTCTTAATCCCCAGTTTACGGTACTTTTTTCTATATATCGGTGAATAAAAAAAATCTAAAATATAAAAATTCAAAATATTTTTCAATTATTTTTGTCTTTAGTAATTAGTAAAAGAAATAAATATTATTTTGCCTTTTTAAATGTAGTTATTATTTTATAATACAGGTCCGTACTCTTGATGTTTAAATTATCCAAAATGTTGACAAATTAGAATATATTGTTAGGTATGCATTATAATGATCTGTCGGAATACCACTGGTTCATGTTTAAATAAAGAAGTTGTTGGTAGTCCTGAATTTACGAGAAGTTGGAAAATGTAAACAAATATACTATCAAAGTGATGCTGGAAATCAGTACCAAAGCCTATACAGAACACGAGACTAATAACCATAGTAGTTGACGTCGAAGACACGAAAAAATCATATTGTCGTGCGAACCATTTTGAACCAGTCCGGTCCTGATCTATGTTTACGTTATAGCCGTTGAGTTACCAGCCTTACAAGAAATTTCTAGAATTTTGTGTGGAGTGTTCGATGAATGCTATAAAATTGCAATTTTTGGCGAAGGTGCCATATTTGATAAAATAGTGGAATGCTCGGGATTCTTCACCTTTGTATATAAATACATTTTTTATTATTGGAGTAGAAAGATGATCGAATTATAAAGATAACTATTGATAGAAATTAGTATATGAATATAAGTAGAGCTGATATAGAAATTAAGTATTTGAAGTAAATTACTGTTAAATTGTAAATACATTAGTGGATATTACGAGAATTTCTAAAGATTTTTATAATAAATCAATTTGTAATGTTGTTGCAACCAATTCAATTGCCGGCCATAGATAGTATACAGTACGATTATTTAAACATTTTAAAATTAAAATTTTAAGACAATCAGACTTATCCAGTTCAATTTTTGAGCAGTATAGTTGTAAATAAATTAAATAATAAACTATTTTAAATAAATAAACGTTACATTGGTGTCAGAAGAAGTGGGATTCTAAATAAATAGTGAGTAAAAATGGTTCGTGCGACAATATTTAATATAAAACAAAAAATGCTAAATGAGTTTTTGTCTATTTTTGAAAACAAACGTATTTTGTTAGTGCAATAAAGAAATGTAACCAATTTTTTTTATTCAATATCTTGGGATATCAATACATTTCAATTATTAAAAAGTCTTTGATATGTTTTTAAGTGTAATAGTTGCCAGTAGGCACCGTTTTCTTATGTTTTCTTTTCAAAATTTTGACTTTAATCCTCATATTGTTGACTATTTTTTCAAATTTTTTATTTTTTTCAAAGAATTTTGTATATTTTCAAAATTTATACTTTTTGATTTTTTTGTAGTACATTAATCTTTATCAACAACTATTTATGTGTTACTGTTGAAATACAACTTCGTCTGCATTTAAACAGAAACCAGCCCTGTCGTTTACCAAAAATTTAAACTTTGTCTATTGTTATCACCTTTTAAAAATTCAACAAAAGTATGCAACAGTTGAACTACAAGGTCAAGATAACGCTCGAAATAAAAACAATTAACTACACAGTCAAATATAATGTGAATCATATAAGAGACATATGAAACAGTAGTACCATTTTTTATCTATCTATTATCACAATACAATCGCGAGGCATTGCAACGAAGTAATTTAGACAGTTAAGAGATCTAGCGAATCAAGTTTGAAAAGCAAGTATTAATATATCTGAAACGGGAATATTACCAGCATTTTATTACATAATCAAAACAGAGAACACCAGATCGTAATAAGTTTAAGCCAGCTTCTTGTTTGTTTCATTTTTAAGCATCAACAATTATCACCATTCTTTTTGCATTAAATGAAAAAGTACAGTTGTATATTTTCAATAATGTGTTACAAGATTAATCAATGTTCCAAATTTCATGTTTTAAAATAGTCTGTTATTGTGTTTTTTAAACCAGCGTGTTTTACTTTCCATTAGCTAAGACATTACAGAAAAAGAAAAAATATGATTCATTTTTTTACAGATTGAGATCAGAATATGAAATAGAAACGCATTCTAGAATCAGTCTAGTCATTTCTTATCTTAGCTACCTCACCACATTAAAAACTATCAACTTAGTATTACCCTATATAAAGACGCACTTTAGTTTTTAAATGGCACAACTTCCTACTTTTAATAATTGTTTCACCTGCTTTGTACCAAAAAAAACACCTTACGGAAATTAGAAAAAAAACTTACTGCAAAATATACAAACATAATATACATTCTTAATAAAATATATAAAAATATACAATATAAATAAATTTCCCGCACTAAATCTGTGGTCACATTCTAAACCAAATTTAGAATGCGATCGGCTTAAAAACAGTCGATAGTAGTTCATTTTTCGGCACCTACAGTACGCGGTTTTTTCGGCTTTTGCGCCAGTTGAAACATGTAGGCCGCCAACATTTTGGTAGCTTCTTGGAAACATCGCGTCGATATGTGTTCATTTCCTCGACCTAGTCTTGAACCCTTCGAAGCAATCGGTAATATGACGAGATTCTTCTCCAAAGCGCTGTCGAATATGGCGGTCGTTTCTCTACCTGTATCTTCTCTGATCAAATTCGGGTCCACTTTGTAGATCTATAAATATGGAAGCAAAAATTAAACTGAATTTAAGACGGTAGTTACTAGCATCACTAATTGAATTCTAGTTCATTGTTAGGTGTAAATAATTGTTAAAGTTTTTGTAATTAGTTTTACTTCCTAAGTGTAGATGGCGTTTCTTTGTGATTTCTAATCCTCACGCAATCACAAGATTTGGATAGCGAGGAAATATCATCTTTCTATACTGCCGTGCTAAGCACAAAGGTGGTAACTGACCTTTTTAAGAAAAATGAGTTTTTGATTATAATACATTAAATTATCAATTTTTCAACATTATTATTAAGTTATTAGGCATGAAAACTCAATATTTTATTTAAAATAAATCTATACAAGTATTACAAATTAAAAATTTAAAAAAACTGACTTCAAAAACGTGCAGAGATGCCATCACCACATTTTAACCAAATTTATATGGGACCACTTCTGAGGTACCCCCTTACTAACAAAAAAAGAATCGTATAAATCGGACAAGGTGGTAAAGCATTATCGCTAAACATACATAAAAGATGAAGACTTTGAGGATTTTCTCATGGATCCAATTATTAGATTTTGACCAAATTTATATGGGACCACCCCTAAAGTAGCCCCTTTCTAACAAAAAAAGAATTATTGAAATCGGACACAGTGTTAAAAAATTATCGCTGAACATACATAATAAAAAATGAAGAGTTTGAGGATTTTCTCATGGACCCAATTATTAGATTTTGACTAAATTGATATGGGATCACCTCTGAAGTTCCACCTTTCTAACAAAAAAAGAATCATTGAAATCGGACACCGTGTTAAAGAATAATCGCTGAACATACATAAAAAAAAAATATCGTGACGAATTGATAACCTCCTCCTTTTTTGAAGTCGGTTAAAAAATAGTCTTTCTTTTCTACCTCAAATACTACGTTAAAGTGCCGTTCTGCAATAAACTAAGCTTTTTCTATTGTTTTTGAAAACAAATACGTCCATAGCCCTTAGTATTTTTCAAATACGTCAAAAATGCTTTAGTAAATTTGTTAAAATTGTCAGTAAAGTTAAAGTAGAAAAGAGAAGATTGGCGTTATTTTATAAAAATTCATTTTAGAACCAAATAAGAAAAAGACTGCTAACGGAATTTCCAAAGATAAGAAGAAGCCTTCAAATGGAATCATACCAAAAACTAGGGGGAAGATTTAGCGAAAAATGATTGTAAGATGATAACGATGAAGTAGAAGATTAAAGTGCAGAGAAATGATATTACCAACAAATTTAATGTTATGCAATTCAATCTGTAGCTTTTATTTTTTTTCTTCCTTTTTTATATTCTAGTTTTTTTGTCATTACTTAAAATTGGTTAATAACAAAATTAATTATTATAACTAGTACCTCGTTAATAAAGATTTCTTCAATTTATAAAACAAAAATAAAATAAATGTGAATGATAATTAATTACATACGGCAATTGGGAAAAATACCGCAATAAGGCTATCAGAAAGGCCAAACGAGAATCGTGGAGGAAGTTCTGTCAGAGTATATCAGATTTACCTGCAAATACCAGACTTCACAAGATTCTCGCCAAAGATCCGAAACAGGAAGTCGGCTCGATAAAAAGACCCGACAACACCTATATGGACTCTGGTAAGGAAACTTTAGAGATTCCTTTACAGAAACACTTCCCAGGAAGTCGATTCCTGGAGGACAGGCAATATGTACCTCTTCCTTTAACGGAATCGATGAGGACTGGAGCTTTGTTGCACAAATTGTCTCTCCAAACGCCGTGAAATAGGCGATGAATTAATTCTCCCCCTTCAAATCACCCGGAGAGGATGGCATTTTTATCCGCCTTTTTACAAAAAGGACAGGAACTCCTGCTACCCCTCCTTATGAGGTTGTCTAGAGCAAGCCTGGCGTGGAGCTATATACCACTAGGATAGACGTTGGCGAAAGTCGTGTATATACACAAAGCTGGTAGAGTAGATACCTCCCTACCAAACTCTTATCGTCCAATCTGCCTAACATCCTTTCTTCTAAAAACACTAGAGAGGATTCTAGATAGGCATATTAGAGAAGAAGGTCTTCGGGCAAACCCGTTAAACTCCTTTCAATATACCTACCAAGCAGGCAAATCTACAGATCATGCCCTGCACAATCTAGTAGGCAAAATCGGCCATTCCCTAAATCACGGAGAGATTGCGCTAGGTGCCTTCCTAGATATAGAAGGCGCGTTCAACAACGCCCTTCCTCAGTCTTTGTTCTCTTCTATTAAAAGAAGAGGAATCTACAAACTAACCTGTAATTGGATCAAAAGCAAGCTGGCAAACCGGAACATCACTTTATCACTGCAGGGAGAGAGTGTCACTTTCAGGCCTGCCAGAGGATGTCTACAAGGCGGCGTACTTCCACCCCTACTGTGGACTATTCTGGTGGATAACCTGCTAGACGATCTCTCCCGACAGGGGGTGGATTTCCAATTCTATGCGGACGATCTGGTTATCATAATTAGGGAAAAGTTCGAAGAGATGATCTCCAATATCCTTCAACAAGTCCTTAATACGATCGTAAGATGGTGCGAGAGGGAACAGATGTCTGTTAACCCCCGCAAAACTGTTATTGTCTCCTTCACCAAGAGAAGAAATTTTTGTGTGTTTACACTGGACTAAACAACTGTCGGACATAAATCCCATGCAATAAATGTCAGATGTAAACGTATCATTAGAAAGTAAAGTTTCTTCTGACATTTCTTCCTTAGACAATAAAGTGTCCCTTGGAAGATAAAGTCTCCTCCATCACTAATTTTATTTTTATTTAATTTTAAAAAATGTATATTTCAATTAATTCCCGCTTGAGGACATGTAGAAGATCCCAGGAATTACCGTTTTTCAACAATTACGAGTACCCTCGTAGGTTAAAATATTCCTATATTTGCCGAAATCCGAATGGGCATTTTGTAGAGTCGATTTCGTATCAATTATCTACTTTTATTTGTCAAGGTACTAGAAGGACATTTTTTTTTATTTTAAATTGTAAACACTCGGCTGTAGTGGTGGTATCTCCCACTCTGGCTTACCGGTCTTTAAGCTTGCCCAGCGAAAAAGCATAAATTGGATAACAACTGAGAATTACTCTCTTTTGATTGCCGGCCGCCGTAAGCTATTCTCTCTTCTCCAGTGACGAGTGAAGGACTCTGTGAGTGACCGTAATATTGATAGAATACTGAACAACCCCGTTTATTTTTCTAAGGTAGGAAACCGCAAATTATTTTTTTTTATTTACAATTAGTTGGGACACCCGTACGACAAGTGAAAAATTTTTGATTCATGTTTCTTTTTCTTTTATTTATTCATTCAATTATATTTGAATTATTCCATTTCCCGTCAACAACTAATTATTGAACGAAACCCGACGTTTTCTATAAAATTAATTCACACACCGTTTTAATCGGCTTTGGCAAATCTCAAAATAATCTTTTCTATAACTATCGCCTTCGTTGTCCAAACACCGCGTTAATCATATCATTCTCGCTCGACGAAAATTGCCAGTGTCGATCGCTCGAGACTAAGATACAAGGGGGTTCCGAAAACTTTGTTCCATTTTATAGTAGGTTTTTCCTTTTCTGAACTTATATTGTAGGTGGATTAACTGTGGTCATAGTAAACTTAATTTTTCTTTTAAAGGGAGTGTCGTAACTACCCGTTTTCTTTTATTTTTATGAACTTCTGAGTTGGTCAACCGTTTAGTTAAAAATTAGTTACTCCGTTTTAATTAATTACCGTTTTTTTTTCTTCGTTTTATTCTTTTAACCAGAATATTTAATTTAATTTTTAATTTTGTGTATTTGGGAAAATACACCTTCCATATACCGTGTTGTACATAATTTTCCGATTTAAATATTTTCCCGTACTATTAAAAGGTAATACGAACTTTAATTTCATTTATTTTCCTACATTTTATTACCGTCATATTTAAATTATTTATTTTTTTTTTAATTAGTTTTCCATATACAGGGAGTTTCATAATTCCCGGACCGCTTAGCCTCCTGTGCTAGCGAACCGTAATTATTTTCCAATATTTAATTAGTTTTCAGTTGTAATAATTTAATTTTAATAAATTTTCCGAATACAAGGATCCATTAATATTTAATTAGTTTTCAATTGTAATAATTTATTTTTAATAAATCTTCCGAATACCGGGAGCCATTATTATTTAACTAGCTGCAATTGTAATAATTTATTTTTAATTATTTTTTTTTTCTGTATATAGGGAGCCGTAATTACTTTCTTGTAACCTCATTCAATTGTAATCATTCATTTTATTTAATTTTCCGTTTACAACTGTGCCAAAACCGTGCACTACCACCGTTGTATTTTTTTCTGTAAATATATATTTTATTATCTATTCCTGCGTTTTTCTTATTGCTGGTTCTTAACCGTTCTCTTTTAGGGTACCGTAGGGTGCGAGGTATAAAGGAGATTGTTTTATTTTTTTATTCTAGTTTAGTGTCTACCTAATTAGCAGTGACCGCCTGGAATTATTTTTAACTCCACTGAGCTTACCTTGAGTATACTCTGGTGTACTACAGATTCGCAGAGCAAACTGCGATACCAAAACTGGCGCCTGAGCAACCCCTATTCGGGAATCACCATCATAGTGCCACACAGACTCGCTGATTCACTGTAGGTGAACCAGGAGCCTGTCACAATCTTTTCTTTAAAATATTTGAAAACAAAAATGTCTTCTATGGAAAATCAATGTTCGTCTAATATTTCTTCCTTAGAAGAAAAGGTGTTATTCGAAATGTATTCTTTAAAAAATGAAACTTTTGCTGATGTTGAAAATGATGTCTTCTATTGAGGAAAAAATAATGTCTTCCTTTGAGGAGAAAATAAAAGAGATGGAAAAGAAGGTAGAAGAAATAGAGAGAACAAAACAGGTCAAGGACGGTGAAATGAAACGCCATGAGGTGAAGTCAAAGCTGAAATTGGAAAGAACTGTTAACTCTGCTTGTGTTAAAGCCCCAACTTTTGACGGGAAGATGTCGTGTACCAACTAACTTAAGCATTAGAAACAGCTGCGAGAGCAAACGATTGGTCTGAAAGAGAGAATGCAGTAAATTTGACCATCGCCCTTCGAGGAGATGCTTTAGATATCCTCCAGACTATACCTGTGAAGGAGACGGATGATTTTGAACAACTCAAAAAGGGACCAAACATGCTATATGGCTACAGACACTTGAGAATTTGTATCAGTCACAGAAACGTGACGAGACTCTTCAAGAATACGAAGTAGATATTGCCAGGTTGGTAAGCTTTGTCTACACATCAGCCTCATAAAATATGATGGAATATCTAGCTGTCCAAACATTTGTTGATGCACTCCGTGACCATGAAATGCAGAAAAACTCCGTCTAGCTGGTCACAAAATATTTGTCAATATCTTGTCCTTTGCTCTTATATATGAGGTAGCTACGCAGACTTCTGGAGGATACGGCAAAGTGAGGACTTTAAAAGAAGAAGATGACGTGGAAGATAAACTCGACTAACTGGTTAACATAGTAAAGAGTTTTACTAATAAAAAGATAAAGACTGGGACATGTAAGCAGTTTGTGCAAACGTCCTAGGATCACAAAAATTAAAGACACACGCCGCAGGAAAACTAGAGTGGGTAGGCCTCAGGGGGTAGCTACGACTCGAAACCATTCCAAAGACCATCTCATAGTCATAGCTTATTGGAATTGTTGCGATGATAGTGTATACGTAGACGGTGAAGTAGATGGTAAAAAGTATACATTCATAAATACTTGCTTAGCGGTCTCGTATGGTATACGGATGGATCTAAAACTAACAAGGGAACAGGCTCTAGAGTACATGGAGTTAAACCTAAATGTGACATCATCGTCTCACTGGGAAAACATGCCACTGTATTGTAGGCTGAAATACATGCAATCGAACTGTGTGTACGAGAAAATTTAAGAAGGAAGTACAAAAAACAAACCATCCTAATTTTCTTAGATAGCCAAGCATCTTTAAAGGCTCTTGATTCAAACAGAATCAAGTCAAAGCTTGTCTGGAACTGCCTTAGAATACTAAATGATCTGGCAACCCACAACAAGGTAAAACTAGCGTGGGTACCAGGGCACAAAGGTACTTAAGGAAATGAAAAGATGATGAACTCGCCAAAGAGGGATCTGATCTACCATATCCACTATTGTGGGATTACTAATGGGGCACTTCTTGCTAAACCACCTTCATGTAATGGGATTACACAATGATCCCACTACGTGTAGACTTTTCATGGAAGAGGAAGAAACCTCATACCATGTGATCTTCGAATGCGAAGCTCTTACTGGGCGAAGTTTCATCCTTTTTGGCCTAGAACCGGAAAGAACGCCCCGGGAACACTTGGTAGGGAACCTATTAAAACTAACCAAAGACACAGGACTATTCCAAAGATAGTATCTGAATACGGGGAAAGCAGGGGAATACAATAGACCCAAGAGGATACAGTGTTCTGCCCAAACTTAACCATACCTGCTTACAACCGATAAAGATAAAAAAATGCACTTATAGTGGATAATGGAGTAACTATGACCATTATATGATCAACAACCATAAATAACCGCAAGACTTCTACCAATGAGATTGCGAGTGGACTGACACAGGTGAAAGTGCCATCATCCATGAGGAAATCCAGGTTCAATTAGGAATTGGTACAGTCTTTGTCGCTGATATCGAAGATGTTATACTTGGAATGGATGTAATGAACTTACATGATTTCCAGTTGGATTTTAAGAACATGGTATTCAAAGTTGGTGCCGAAGAGGTATTCCTTTGTCCATATGGAGACATTACCGTGCCAGTAACTGTACAGGAGGATACGATGGTACTTAGCAGAAGTAAAACTATTTTAGAAGCACGGATTCAAGAAACAATGAGAGAAGGAACACCTGTCTTGATGGAACCTTGGAACCACGATTGGTTAAGGAATTCTGATAGGAAAAGGGTTGGTCACGACTGCTAATGAAATTTCAGTACGTCTTATAAACGTTTAATGATCACCCAATTGTCATCAAGAGGGAGACCAGAATTGGAACATGTGTACAAGTAACTTCCATAATTTATCAGACAACTTCTGCTAATTCAAACGACAAATTCGAGCAAATGATTGCAGTTGCTGGTCTATCTCTAAATCAATAATTAGAGAAAAGGAAAATAAAGGAATTTATTCGTCGATATTGTGACATGTTTGAACAAAAGGGAGAAACAACAAGAACTTCTGTTGTAAAACATAAAATTGACACTGGTGACACCAGGCCAAATTGACAATCAGCTCTCGAAATCCTTTCTCTATGAGTCAGCCCGCGCTCAGTAACTTCTCGAAGGAGTCCGTCAGGCGTAGAACCGGCCCTAATACGACAATATCTTTTCAGGTTCTAAATTTGTTTGCTAACGTTCCCGCACAAAGTATACAGCATTTATAAAAATAGAATTAAGAGTGATAATAATGGAACGAGAATGAATATTTTCAGAGCTTCTTTGGGTGATGACGGCGACGTGACTTGTCAGATCACGCCCCGTTTGGAATCGGACCAATTATTTTTCTCTATGATACATCCAGTTGCTAGTTGTATAAACTGGCGCGAAATAAACGACTCCCTGATAAAATGAAGGAGCGCTCCTTCTGTCTGCAATTTTGTACAGTGCCGTAGATAATTATTTTGTTACGGTAAAAAATATATTATTTTTAACACGTTTTAGTCTAGAAATCAATCCATTTTTCTCTACTGAATAACTATGTTTTTTAAACAGATTTTGCAATAAAATTTAAGAAAATTATCATTTCAGTAATATGTATATTTACCTGTATAAACGCTCTTTTGGCGGCCTGATGATTGAACGAATTGTGATTTTCAACCCACGGTCGAACGGATTCCACGCATTTCACGTTCACTTTACTTTTAATATTATTTTTCTTGATCACGCTCATTATGTGCTTCTGAACTACTTCCACGGTGAAATCGATAGTTTGTCGAGGAACGATTTTCAAAATGAAATGCCTTCTGATCATCTTCTTGTCGCGATTCGGACACGTGCATTCTTCGATGTCGTCAATGAAGATCGAAGGAAGACGCCACATGTGCATCAGGAGTCGAACTCTGTCCCAAGTTCGTTTGAATAGTGGCAAGGATTCTCTAAAAATATGCGAGGAATGTTATATACAAACAATGTGTGTCAATACAAAGACAACATTATATAGATATATTTTTAAATATATAATAATACTTTTAAAATGTTTCATCATGCTTAGGTGTGAAATTTTCTTTTCAATTCCGCCACGTACTTAAATTAAAAACGCTAATTTTTAGAATTTTTAAAAGTATTTCAAAAAATTTTAAAATATTTTATAAGAATTGTAATCATATTTAAAAAAAAAACTTTGAAATAAACATTTGTTAAAAATGTATATAAAACTTTGAATAGATTAAAAAAATAGTCCTGTTTAGAACACGAATTTTTTAAAAAAATAGTTTAAAAATTGTTTTAAATTTTTAAAAATAAGAATTTTATCATATTTTAAAAAACTTTAAAATATACTGTTTTTAAAAAATATACAAAACTTTAAATAGATTTAAAAAAGTGGTGTGAAATTTTCTTTCAAAATCCACCACTTGGCGTAATATTTTTTATATCACGAATTTTTTTTTAAATAATTCAAAAATTTGAAAATATTTTATAAGAATTTTAATCATATTTTAAAAAACTTTGCAATAAATATTTTTTAAAAATGTATACAAAACTTTAAATAGATTAAAAAAATAGTCCTGTTTAGAACACGAATTTTTTTAAAAAAGTTTAAAAATTGTTTTAAATTTTTAAAAATAAGAGTTTTATCATATTTAAAAAAAACTTTAAAATATAGTTTTTAAAAAATATACAAAACTTTAAGTAGATTTAAAAAAGTGGTGTGAAATTTTCTTTCAAAATCCACCACTTGGCGTAATTTTTTTAGATCACGATTTTTTTTTTAAATAATTCAAAAAATTTGAAAATATTTTATAAGAATTTTAATATTTTAAAAAACTTTGAAATAAACATTTTTTAAAAATGTATATAAAACTTTGAATAGATTAAAAAAATAGTCCTGTTTAGAACACGAATTTTTTAAAAAAATAGTTTAAAAATTGTTTTAAATTTTTAAAAATAAGAATTTTATCATATTTTAAAAAAACTTTAAAATATACTATTTTTAAAAAATATACAAAACTTTAAATAGATTTAAAAAAGTGGTGTGAAATTTTCTTTCAAAATCCACCACTAGGCGTAATTTTTTTTAGATCACGAATTTTTTTTTTTAAATAATTCAAAAAATTTGAAAATATTTTATAAGAATTTTAATCAGATATTAAAAAACTTTGAAATATTTTTTTAAATATATACGAAACTTTGAATAGATTAAAAAAATTAAGACAATTTTAAAGTGTTAAGAAGGATTAGGAATATTTAAAAAAATGATAAAAAATATTAGGAAAACTTTAAGAATTATTTGCGTTAGAAAATGTTGAGATCTGACCGCTATCTTAAATATTTTTTAATGATACTATAGGTCATGTTATACACCATTTGAAAGGGCCTTGAATACATAATTTACCGAATTTCTTTTGGATCAAATTCGCGAATGTTTGCGTAGATCATCTCTTCGTCAGGTCCAATCTGTTCGACCATGTCAGAGTAATGAGGAATTACAATTTCCATTCTGGCGTTAATTATTGTCTCAAAAATGTTCTCCATGTCTTGTTTAATAGAGTCGCTTGAATCACCTTCGATGGTTATTTCCATATGAACAATACCTAAAATTCAGTTTTCGAACATACACATTAAAAGGTAGCGGTTTTTAAATCTTTTTCGAGGGGTAAACCACAGAGGGAATTAAGTGTACAAGGATAAAAAATTGCCGGGATTTTTCAAGTTTAAAAGAATTTAGGAGAAATATGGAAATTATCAGGGCGTTATGGAAATAATGGGAACTGATAGAGGAATTGATAAGGAATTGATAAGGAATTGATAAGGAATTGATAAGGAATTGATAAGGAATTGATAAGGAATTGATAAGGAATTGATAAGGAATTGATAAGGAATTGATAAGGAATTGATAAGGAATTGATAAGGAATTGATAAGGAATTGATAAGGAATTGATAAGGAATTGTAAAGGAATTGATAAGGAATTAATAAGGAATTAATAAGGAATTAATAAGGAATTAATAAGGAATTAATAAGGAATTAATAAGGAATTAATAAGGAATTAATAAGGAATTAATAAGGAATTAATAATGAATTGGTAGGGAATTGATAGGCAATTGATAGTAAATTAATAGAGAATTGATAAGGAATTGATAAAGAATTGATTGGGCATTGATAGGAAATTGATTGGAAATGTATAGGGAAATGATAGGGAATTGATAGGGAATTGATAGAGAATTGAAAGGGAATTAATAAGGAATTGATAGGGAATTGATAGGCAAGTGATATCGAATTGATAGGGAACTGATAGGGAACTGATAAGGAATTGATAGGGAATTAATAGGGAATTGATGGCAATTGATAGGGAATTGATGGCAATTGATAAGAACTTAATAGAAAATTCATAGGGTATTACTAGGGAATCGATATAAAATTGATAGGGAATGGAAAGGGAATTGATAGGGAATTGATAGGGAATTGATTTTAAATTGATAGGGAATTGATATTGAATTTCCAAGAAATTAAAGGAATTGCAGAGGAATTGAAGGAAAATTCTGAGAATTACCAAGTAATTGCCGAAGATTTATCGAAAAATTGTGAGGAATTGCTAAGTACTTGTCAAAGAATTTCCAGGGAATTGCGGGAATTACTGAAACAATTCTAAAGAATAATCTTGGAATTGACAAGGAATTGCAGAGAAATTTCCAAAGAATTGGCGAGAATGCGGCAATTGTTTAGAAATTACCTAATTATCGAGTAATTATCAAGGACTTTTAGAGGAATTGCATAAAAATGAGCCGTATACGAGGTTTGTCAAAAAATATGAATTTTGCTCAAGAGTGAAGTACGTTTATTTTTGACAAAATCGAAAATTTTCATTAAGAAAAATTGAAAATTACATTCAAATATGCAATTACACCGATTTATCTGAAAAATCAATTTTTTCTAGATTTTGCATTGATCCATACTTTTTTCTCTCTTTTCTCTACTATAAACATGATACGCTTTACTTTTCTTGATGTTTGTGAAGAATTTAGCAATTAAAAGAATCTAAAGATAAAGCGACCAGGAAAGGAGTATTTTGGAAAGAAGTGAAGGAAGCAGTGGTTTAGAAAAAGAAAAAAGCAAGTAGGATAAACAAATAGTCGCGCAGAATTTAAAAAAGGTCCAACAACAAAAGACGAGAATACATAAGGAAGCAAAGCAAGTAGCTGTATAGAAAAAGGCAAAGAGAGATAGATGGAAAAGGTGCAAAAGCAGAAGACAGAAGCTTTTTTGTTAACTTTTTATTTTGAAAGTAATACTTTTAAACATTTTCAGAAATTGAACCCACTCAAGTAAATATTTATAAATTTTGAGGTTTATCATACCAATATGTATGCCTGTAGGAACTTACCGGCAGTTCCATAAATTATACAAGGTATTTTGTGGCCCAACCATTCGCCGGCAACTTGCGCTACAAAATCTATTTGATTGAAAAAGTCTTGCTTCTTTGTGTTAACGAACGTCAAAAAACCTTGGCTGTTTTTGTGCTGCATCATTTCAATGCAAAATCTAAAGTTGACTGGTAGCGGCATTTTGTTCAATTTAAATGCCTAAAATACAATAAAAGTAATTTTAAAAAGCCAACTACAAAAATGGGGATTTTGATTATTTTCTCGTGAATTCCATCACCAGATCTTGACCAAATTTATATGGGACCACCCCTAAGGTTACCCCTTTGTAACAAAAAATAATCATAGAAATCAGACAAGGCGGTAAAGAATTATCGCTGAACATACATATTAAAATATATTCCGACGAATTGAGAACCTCCTTCTATTTTTTTAAAGTCGGTTAAAAATAATAAAAAAATCAAATGGAAAAAATTCATGAATGAATTCCTGGTAGTAGATATGATGTATTAATAAGATCAATTCCCAATTCGGTTTATTTATCTTTTGTTTAGCCGCCAAGGCCACAAATAAACGAAAAAATTTGATCATTACATACCAGTAAAGCATGGAGCCAACACATCAATGGACCCTTTCCACAACCAGCTCCATTTCCATATAAAAATCCATCTTTGACAGTTAAATTCCATGGATCTGTGTCCCATTCCGAAGGTTCTGCATGTGGTACATCCAAATGGCCATAAGCGCAAAGCTATGGAAAATATTTGTTTATATTTTGGATTAATTTTCAAGTCACATGTACAGTATCCTAATATTTTATAATGAGTACACTACTTTCTTGCGATATGGAATTTGTAGGAATATTTTAAGAAGTTTGTAAAAAAAGTATCTTACATACTGTTCTTTTCTACTTATTCTGCTTTTGAACTTTGCAAATATACATTATTATAATTGAGTTTTAACATTAAGGTTTGTCTTTTTTTACTCTTATTTCTTATACCTGTTTAATGGTAATTTTGAGTTCAGAGAATGTTGGCATAATTCTAGGTGGTGCCTATTTAAAATTACAACAATTATTCATTGTTGGCTCGCTCCCATCTATGAGTGATTCGCATACATATTGGTTTTATATTGTAACAAAAAAGCTAAATACATTTGGCGCCCAACGCGGGATTTGTAATCCAAATATAAAAAAAATTCATTCTGACATCCAACCTTTCAAAACCCTATATCAATAAATGTCAGCTCTAGGTCTTTGATCCTCGAAGAATCTTTCTTGTAGGTTTAACATTCATCTATAGTAGAGGTTAATCCACATACAAAAAATACTTACTGTCTTTTTATTAGGATCATTTCCCAAAGTCGCCAAAATAACAGGCGGGAGTCTTATTTTCTTTCCTTCAACGTAGTAAAATCCAATATTGAAAACTTCATATTTCATGCCCAACTCCTTCAGCCAATCTTCCATGAACGTGACCATTTTCTTAACTTCGGCTCTATAGTGAACATCAGATGCAATAGACTTTATTTTGATAGCCTTTCCTAGGTTTTCTATTAATTTTTCCTTCATGGAATCTATGGTCTGTAGTATCTATTGAGTAATTAAGTATGTAAATTCAAGAGACTGTTTGGAAGCAATTTGGATACAGTACTTAAAAAATTATTGTGCATTATAAAAAATCAGGAAAATATATAAAAGAAAAACATAAAAGGATGATATAAAAAAATTAACAGGTACCAAATAAATTTGTAACAAACACCAAACAATGACTTCTTTCATAAGTATTTAGACATAAGGTACCTGCGGCAAATAAGGCCCGGCGCCTAATAAAGCCCAAAAATAATATCTCACAAAATAGAAACATATTATTAAACCTGGCAATGCCGATTCAACCCCCACCACGAGTCAATCATATCCGCCAATTTCGACCCTGCTAAAATTTAGATTTAGAATCGTCGTCAGTACTATCCAAGGTTGTGAGCATGTGTGTTGCAACTTCCAGTGTTTCTAAAGATTTTTTTATTCGGCTACTACTGCCAGTGGTTTTCCTCAGTCCCTACCGCATATTTCTACATAAAAATAATTGCGAAAAGGTAAGAGATTGTTGAGTTTTTTAATTTATAACTTTTAATTGTCATGTCGGCTATTGGGGTCTATTCTGTAACAATTCCTTTATATTTAACGGCCTTTAAAAATATTTTCTTCTTTACTTCGGTCATTATTTAAACGGATTTTTAAAATACATTAGAGTACTATCTTAAAGAAATCTGTTGAAATAATGACAGAAGTAAATTAACGAATACAAATATACTTTTAAAGGCCGCCAATATTTTTAAAGGCCGTTAAATATAAAGGAATTTTTACAGAATAGACCCCATTAAGGCCCATTAATATTCTGCGATTAGGACCCGGGCCTTATTAAACGATGATAAATGTTTTTCTTTTTTTTTTCAGATACTTACAAAGAATATGCCTAGACGACGTGTACAGTGTACCTCAGAGCAGATACAAAGGGCTATAAATGCGGTAAATAACGAAGTACTGTCTCAGAGGGAGGCCGCAGATCGCTACAGAATCCCCACAAGAACGCTTAGAAACCCCCTTAAATCGGGAAAGGTAGAAAGAAAGTTAGGCAGGGCTGCAGTACTGACGAAAGAACAAGAAAATGAATTAGCGCTCAATGAATTATTCGTTTATGTGAAATAGGACTACCATTAACTCCAATCTTGGTATGGCGATCAGTTTATAAATTTTGTGTCGAAAACAACATTAAACATCTCTTTCGTGTGAGCAAGGAAGTCGTCGGTAAGGATTGGCTTTACGCATTCTTGAAACGAAACTCGCAACTTTCTAAACGGAAAGCTCAATTAATTAACCCAGGAAGAGCGCAAAAGTTGAACAAATATATTGTAAACGATTATTTCATCAAGCTTTCTAAAATTTACCAGGAAATGGATATTCATCAAAACCCTCAAAACTTGTTTAACATGGATGAAAAGGGTTGCCGTTTGACTGTCCACCACCAGCAACAAGTAATTGGACAAAGGGGTGCGAAACGAATTCACATGGTAGCACATGAGCACGCTGAAAATGTGACTATTGCGGGGTGTTGTAATGCACTAGGAACACCATACCCCCTATGGTTATTTTTAAAGGGAAAAGGTTGAAACCAGAATGGCAAGATGCTTTACCGGCTGGTACCCTGGTAAAAATGTCAGATAAGGGTAGCATGACAACATCACTTTTCATTCAATTTATTGAACATCTAGCTCGCTACAAAGGTAATGGACCGACTTTACTAGTTTTCGATGGAGCCTCTAGTCATCTGGATATTTATATTGTGGACGCTGCAGACCGTCTTGGAATTAGATTGTTTTGTCTACCTTCAAATACGACGCATGAACTCCAACCACTGGATAAGGCAGTTTACAGATCCTTTGAGCATCACTGGGATCAAGAACTGCTTAAATTATGGGATGCGCATCCAGATCGACGTCTTAATAAGAGTCGATACGGTAAAATTTTTACCAAAGTCTGGCCCAAATGTATGACGCCTGAGAATATTATTAGCGGATTTAAAGCCACTGGAATGTTTCCACTTGATCCACAAAGGATTCCAGAGTCATCATTTGTCCCATCACTTGTAAGCCAGCGCCATTTAGAAGACCCTGAACGACCTGTACCTGATGAAAGAATTCTGCGAGACAACACAAACAGCAGTGTAATTCCGAATATTTTAGAAGTTGATAACGCTACAAATACAACGGATCATAGATCTGAGTCCGATGATGAATTAGAAGACATACCGCTAAATAAGCTAGCAAAAATCGTGAAAGATTCAGCAATAGCAGGAAGCAGCAAATATGGGGAAAAAAACACCAGTAAAAAATGACGAATCACGAAAATCGCCAGGGGGGACCACAGCTATAGATAAAACGTTGACAGACAACATCCTGATGGACGCTAGTAATGAAGTTCTTAATAGGTCTTTTAAGGAATTGCTTCCTACTCCTGAGCTTTTTGCAACAAAGAATAAAAACAATAACACAGCTGACAGGAAAAATCCCTTAATTATAAAGCGCAAGCGGTAACGAAAGACCTTGTTTCATCAGTTAGCACAAAGTCGACATCAGTATCTGCTACCTCCAGGAAGTTTGCAGCAAAAAAATCTAAACCTTCAACAACAGACATCAGGTCTGCATCAAAAGAATCTAAATCTTCACGTCAATCAGTTAGTCCAATTAAATAACGAAAAAAAGCCCCTTTGAGCTTACATTAATTTGTAATTGGATGAAACAAAAAGGACCTTGTGTATTTTGATGTGATCTTTCCGAAAAAAAGAAAAAAAAGATGTAGCAGTTTTTCAATTTTTTTTAAATTAGGAAAAACCGGGTTTTCCAGAATTTTCCATTGTAAAAATGCTAATTATCTGGGCAAGTATCATTCCGATAGTGAAAATAAATGCACCATTCGAAAGAGGAGGCAAAAATAGTTCGGAAATTCATTGCACAGGTAGTTTTAATGGCGAATTTCTCGCCGCCAGAAGTGCTTTTACCAAAAAGTCGTTTTTTCGTTTTTTTGATCAGACCCATGGACATGAAATTTGCGATGAATTTGTGGCGAAATTATAAATGTTAGACATATGTGCCCATGAGAGAAGTTGCGTATTTTTTTGTTGCCTCTCAAATAAAATAAGTCCCGTGGCGAAATCTGACATAATTTTTCGGGAATTCGCAGGAAACCAGAGGCGTAGTTTTTTTTTAATTTTTTTCCCATATGATTTTTTCCAGGTTTCCCGAAAACATCTAACAAAAAAAATATATTTGAAAAAACTAACTTCGCCATCGAAAAGTACAAAAAAATACACAAATAGGTATACTTTAAAAATGTTAGGAAATTAATCCTAAGCCTGAGTGTAAGTTCCAACTTGGTGATAAGCTTGCTTTTTGTTCGCTAATATCTGGTAATTCTATATTTTGCACAAAACTCAAGAAACGTCTTATAACAAGTCAGTAAAATACAATTTAATAAATTTTAAGCCTAATAAGTTTAGATATGTAAGAAATTTAAAACTGGAAAACGCAAAAAATCAAATTACAGTAATGTAGTGTATACACGAGTTTTGGATCCCGCGGAGCGCGTGTAATGGGACTTTTGTCGGGAGAATTCTACAACTTAGAAGAAACATACACACTTTAAACTTTGTATACACATTTAGAAGACATATAATTTGGGTTTGTTTAATTTTCAGACACCAAAACTAAAAATTGTCAATTTTAGGCAACTTTTCTCAAAAACTGTTTTTTGGTCGTCACTCAATGAACAGTGGTCAAAAAATTAGATAAAATATATTTGCAGAATTTTTCGTAATGTAATCTTATTCTAGACACAATAGAGTACTCAAGCCATTGGGTGCATTTTTGGCATTTTGTGCGACTTCAAACTTTCGAAAAAAAAAATATTTTTTTTTAAGGAAAAAAAAATTATTTAATTGTTTGATATCTTAGCCAATTATGATCCGATGTCGGTGAAATTCACACACACATAAGATTTCACATTTAAGAGTAAGCTTTGTAAGTGGCATTAAAAAAATTTAAATAGTTTGGCCGTTATAGGCAAACAATGAAATTAGGACCGCGGTGCATTTTGCCCTTCCGCCATATGCCCATATGGGAGATCTCCTGTCCCCTTCTGGGAATCACTAGTCACATCCCTTAAGTTCAAAACGCATTTTTGTTTTTTCAAATATCTTAATTTTTAACAATGTTATAAAGAATTTAGTGTTTGAACATTTAACAAATTCAATTTTTCGACCTTCGTCGCCTCAAAATACTAAACAAATTTCAATCGTCCATACCGCGAGAACGGTGCATCGGATCAAAATTTCTCAAGAGACATAAAAATTAGCATTTTTCCTAAGCTTTCAAATGTCGTAAACTGCGTTTTGAAAATATTGATTTATTTCCGACAAGCGCCTGCGCAAAATTGAAAAATTGACAAAATCCAAAATTTCGGCACTTTCGAAAAAGTGCTACATTTTGTTTTGTCTTTTTTCGAAAAGATCACCTCAAAATACATATAATCCATTTTGTTTCATCTAATTACAATTTAATGTAAGCTCAAAACCCGTAATTTAATTCGATTAAGTAAGTCTGCAGCAAAAGAACCTAGACCTCCAACGACAAAATTTTCGGTTTCAATTTCCTCAAAGAAAGCAATGGACAGTGATTCGTGGTACTGTTTTCTTTGCGGAACTGAAGACAAACTTGACATGAGACAATGTGTAACTTGCGCAAAATGGTGTCATGAAGCTTGTTTAGGGTTAACACAATGTGATACGGAATGTTTTGTTTGTCCAAAGTGTTGCTAATGAACTATTTTAGAATGCCTTAGTTTCTTTTATAAGCTTAATATTTGTGCCTTTTTTTAGTTTATTTTGTTTTAAAAATGTTTTTGAATTTATAAATACACATGTAAGCGTTATGTTAAAAGAATCGTTGTATACTAGGCTCAAAAATTAAAAAAAAAAATAGAAATTTCTATTAGAAATGTATTCATTTGTTCCAAGAAGCGTAACTGTTTTTGATTATGTGTATTTTCCATTTTATTTTAACCTTTTGTTCCTTAGGTGGGCCTTATTTGCCTCAGGTACCTTATAGTTCGAAAGTAATTCGAAAGATGTTTTATTGGAAAAAAGGGGCCACCATAAAAAGGTGTGAAAAGAATAAGTTAAGACTGACCTAGAACGAAAAAAATAAAAAACTTTAGAGAATATTAACTGCTTGATTAGAACTTAATTTGAATTTGTCCCGATTCCAACACTGCGAGTGTTTAGTTTCAATTTAAATTAATAACGACAAACACTTAATTGGTAATTACGTATTTCCTAGGAAATAGAATGTACCTACTACATAAAAATATTGCTGATATAAATAATTTGTTACGTACCTAAGAAAACATTTAGGTACATACTTACCCTATACTTACCTATACAATGATAAAATAACAAGGCCCAGAACGGAAAAGTAAAAAACTTTGGAGAATATGACTGCTCCCAATGCAGTTTTTACCCTAGCCGTAGAGCAATTTTATTATATATTTTATTGTACCAACACCAACAATATTGTGTATATCTAAATTATAAATCTTGAGTGTTGGGGGTGGGTTAGCTCAGTGGTTAGAGTCATAACTTTGAGATCGATGGGGCTTAAGTTCGAATCTGGCCGGCGACAGAATTATTATTTAATGTAATGAATTAAATATTAATTCTAATGCATAGGTATAGGATCCCCATGTAAAGCCGCGCTGAGAAACAGTAACAAATCCTACATAGAACACGAGACTAATAATCTTAGCAGTTGATGTCGATGACACAGAAAAAACATCCTGAGTAGAGACGTTCCTAAGAATACAATTAAGTACCTACATATATACAATGATTGAATAAATAGGCTTTTGACTATTGGAGGAAAATGATATAATTGCATCTCTTTTCTTCTCTTTTTTTACTCATTACTCACATGGTACATACCTATTTATTCTTATACAGATTTACCTAATTCATTTGCTAGTTACTACGACAAGTAGGTACCTACCTATAGTTGCTGAAGAAGATTGAGAACAATTTTTATTAAAACATACATTTTTTTAAATTGTAAGAAAATTAAAGGGATAATTTTTATACACAAAATCTTACCTTTAGAAGCTGAGGTTGAATTTTTATTTGATTACTTTGGGACCCAAGAAAGTAGTCACCGTACGCATTATTTGAAGTCTGCGTTTCACTGTGTTCTGTCCGGTATGCGTGTGGATAAACCATTTTCAATTATACTTTCAGTTGCTAAAAGTTTTATGTAAAAATGGAAAGTTCACCAAATAATCTGTGTATAAAAAAGTAAAAATGCAGAAAAATGTGACAAATACCAAATCAAATGTCATTTTCATAAGCAGCACGCAGTCATTTGTTTTATTATTGACTCTACAATTTTTTTAGAATTTAAAAATAAATCCATAGTTTTATTCTTGAAATATTTATTAGACTTCATTATTAGATTATATTTTTTTAAATCATGTGCCTAATTTCAAAATAGAATGTGTGCTGTCCTCTATGTAGTAGTAGTTTAAGCACAAATCTATACCAAATAAATACGTTTTGTTGACAATTCATTTTACCTGGATATTTTGTGTTTGGAGGCCAAAGAAGTTTAGAATATTTGACAGTTGACACTTGACATTATTATTGACATTGAAAAGTGAGGGATTTTGTTTTGTGAATTTGTTGGTGTTTTCGAATTTTGAGAAAAGTTTACATTTGTTTTTCATGTGAATTATCTAAGTATGGAAGACTTAACGGATGATTTTGGAGAAGATTGGGATGATGATATTCTAAATGTATAATTGTCATTATATATCAGAGTTTTATAAAAATAAAAATATTTTTTTAGGAAATATCTCTTGTTGAAACAGTGAATGTGATTGAAGATGACGATCCAGACGATGTCCCTGAATCTAAACATTTATCTGCTTTACATCGTTTATTCGGTCATAAGAATTTTAGACCCTTGCAATGGAGGATAATAGGTTCTATTTTAAACCACAGGCGAGACAATTGTGCTGTAATGTCTACTGGTTACGGAAAATCGCTTTGTTTTCAATTTCCTTCTGTTTTCACGGGCGGTGTTACTTTAGTAATTTCTCCATTGATTTCTTTAATGGAAGATCAAATTTTATCTTTAAAGGTAAAATTTTAATGAAAATTAACAACCAAGTTTACACATTTGAACATCACACCAAGTAGTATAGGTGTTGAACTGAGCCTATCTTAATATAAAAATTGACGAATAGTTTGAATCATCTAAATCACACTCATTCTACAGCTATTTCTTGGTTTATTGTTGTTTGATACATCTTTAACCATAGATTGCCAGTGTACTTATGTTTTACCTGTATATTTTTAAAATTCCTGCATATCTCCCTACTCTCTGCTTCTATTACAACGATGGTCTAGCTATGCTTTCGTTAGTCCATCGACAATAATGTTAAAGTGTATCTACTTACAATAGCTCTAAGAAACGTTTTTTGTTACTTTTATAGTTCCTTTGTACTTACAATTTACAGCTGAAAACTATAAGCAATCAACTCCAAATGATTTGCACGTATGAAACCTATATGTATGTTAAAAATAGTAAAGCAGTAATATTTTAACATAGAGTAAGATTTGTAACTGTTATTTTAATTTTAAATAAATTGGCTCAATAATAATTGCAGTTTATTTTTCAGAAATATAAACATGTTACATTGACATATTATTGGTAACAAAAGATTATTGAATTGCACTGGCAATCTATGGCTATAACTGCAAAACCTTGTACCTACTATACACCTTTTAGCTAAACATTGTAAGTAAAAATAGAAAATAGGTACAAGCATATTTACCTATTTCTTTTATTGAAACTATTAGAAAGAGCAAAAAGCTTATTACATACTGGCTAGAATATTACCATACTATTAATAAAACTGTGTCTCCCTCATAAAAAATATAATGTGTCCAACAAATGACTTTCCTGTCTAGTTATTTACAGACTTTTTCCAGTTATTTTGTATGATCTATTGTATTACCCCTGTACATGTTTAGAGGATGAACTAAATATATACATTTTCCACACACATCTTGAAATCATTTTTTTTTATTAATTGCCAAGGAAAATACTGAAAAATTAAGAGTTTACACTTTTTCTAAAAATTTTCTGTTACAGCCCATTTTTGAAAAATCATATATGAAACAAAAATTATAGAGAATGATATTACAAGCAACTTTTATTTGAATAATTTTCTTCTCCAAGCATAAATAAAAGATATTTTCCATAAAGTAGAAAAACAACCTCTATTAAGTGCCCCCCAGATGTTCCAACTCTACCCAAAATCTAATCAGCTTACTGGAGGCCGGAATAAGGCTTATGTGTAAAATTTGGTGTTTTTCTGTGTATCTGTTCATGAGTTATTGAATATACCGACACACACAGATATCCTGAAAATAGTCGTAACGGATTCAGGGGACCCTAAAACGTAAGAATTCGTCAAAAACCCATGGTCGAAAAATCATTAATATACTTACCTGTATACAGACAGGAAAGTAAAAAAAGACAAATCTTTGTGAATTTGCAGATAGTCGAAGGTTGTTTAGAGTGGATGCTTATTCATGGGCCATTCAATATATTCAAATATTTTTAAAACAAAAATATTGTTAACTTCTCTAGGTTCATTTTAAATATGAATTTGAAAAATTTAAGTGAGTTTGATGAAAATTATTAAATGAAGTTTTTTCCAAAATATCTGGTTTAAAGTTAATTTCTTTACTTTGTTACTATTATAGGTGTTCTACTTCTATATACTTGAAGCTATTAATTTTTTTATGCTGAGAATAAACTCAAAAACATAATTGCCAACATGGTCAAAAACTTTTCGTGAAAACGTATTGTATATGAAAAAACAATTTATTTAATGCTTCCTTTGGGAATCTTGAAGTTTAATGTGCATATCTGACAATTGAAATCATTACATAGTTGCCAGGGTTATATACTAATATTTCAAATCTAGGAAAAAGCATATTTGGGTCATCAGAGATGCTGCCAAACATATATTTCAAGGACAATGACAATTTTTATAAATGAAAAGAATATTCTTTAATTTTAGAACATATTTTTTTGTAAAACATAAATTTTCCTTCCTCTTAAAATTAAAATAAAAAAAACCAAACTGCTAAACAAGAATGAACGTATAGCAAGATGACAGGGGTAAAATTCACATTATTCACATCTTGTTTTTCCAAAGTTTTTGAAATTGCTATGTGTAACAGACTATTGCCATTTTTAGAAGTAAATAATGTTATCACAAGTATGCAGCATGAGTTTCAAAGTGGTAAGTCAACTACAACAGCAGTCTTCAATTTTGTTGAGAGAATTTTACACTTTTTAGATTCGGGAAATATTGTTCACGGAGTTTTCTTAGATTTAACAAAGGCTTTTGATTGTGTAAATCACAATATTTTTCTTAATAAATTATACAAAATGGGGATGCGAGGTAATGCATATGACTGGTTTCAATCTTATGCTTCAAATAGGACACAATGAGTTTGTTTTAAATATGACAATAGCGAATATTTCTCTAAATCAAAAAATACTATGCTGGGTGTTCCACAGGAAAGTGTCTTAGGTCCTATTTTATTTGTATTATAATATCTAAACGATTTACCAAAAATTTTTACAAATGATTCTGTAGTTCTCACTAATTATGCCGATGACACAAATGTCTTACTATCTAGAGAGAATTTCAAAATGGTTTGGTGAAAACTCGCTGTTATTAAATTTATCTAAAACTAATTGCATACTTTTCAAGCACAGTCGTAACAAAAATGAATATCCAGAGGAAACTTACGTAATACATTACTAGAATATTCTAAATCGACAAAATTTCTCAGAGTAATAATTGATGAGCATCTAACTTGGGTGGAACATCTACATTCACTTTGTGGAAGGCTCAGCAGAGCTTGCTTTGCATTGAAACTAGTTAAAAGAGCTGTAGATCATTTTTATCTTATATCAGTGTATTATGGTATATTCTATTCCTCAATGTGCTATGGAATTATTTTTTGGGGAGGTTCACACTGTCAAGAAGTCTTTGTAATACAAAAAAGAGCAATTCGAATATTGGCTAATTTAAAGCTTACAGAATCATGTAGAGGTTACTTTAAAAATCTAAATTTGTTGACAGTATGTGCTAGTTACGCATATGAGTGTATTATGTTTGTGTATAAAAAAAAAGTATATTCCACGAATATATAGCAGACCACCTTCACAACACAAGGTTTAGAAAACGGATGCTGTTACAAATGTTTGCAATTTTATAATATGCTTCCTGATCTTTTAAAAATACTAAGAGCCTATCAGCTTTCAAAAATAAGCCTTACAGCTTAGATGATGCAAACTAAGTGATTGTAATTATTATTTGGAAATACTTTGTAAAATCAACAGAAATCTATACTAGTTTTCAATGGTAATATGGATTTTGCTGGGTTTCCCCATATTTCTTAGCAAATGCACCACTATATTCATTTTTAAGTCACCCCAGTGTGCACTTTGTAGGTCAACAAACTAGTACAGATTATCCTAGCTTCTGACTTATACCATACAATTTTATATGTATTTTTTTCTGTATAATATTCCTGGCATTAATAAATATATATTTTTTTTGTCATCGGCTTCAACTGCTAAGGTTATTTCGCCTCGTGTTCTGTGTAGGCTTTGTTACTGTTTCCCAGCGCCACTTCAGGAACAGCACTGTTAATTAGAACCCAACAGTGAATGGTCGAGTGGGGAATCCTACCAAGGCATCAGAATTAATTTTAAATAATTAAATTAAATGAAAAAATTCCGGCCAACGGTGGGATTTGAACCTGGGACCCTTGGATCCACAGGCAAAGACTCTACCACTGAGCCACCCACCCCTAATAAATATTATTATTATTAATAAAAAAAAATATTATTATTATTATAAATATCAATGTAGAGTGGAGTATATAGGCATTATTAGGACACTAAACTATGTACATGATTACCCAGTCCCTTAAGAGCAAACCAGATTTTTTAAGGCATTTATAATATAAAATTGTTTTTATATGCGCGCCATTGAAAACATTTTGCGATATTATGTTTCTCGAGAATATTGAGCGCTTTAAATTTGTTCAACGATAAGGCAGCACTCTACAGAGACTTAAGAAAAAAGTGGGAAATCATCCCATTTAAAGTTCAGAAGGAATTATAAATTTACAAGGTATTCAGTTTGCTCTTATTACAAGTAGGGTACGCCGTACCCTACCGATATTAAAACTATTAATAAATTAGTCGATTACGGTAAAAATTATGTAATAAAAAAGATTCTCTAATAAATAATTGTTTTTCAAACTTAAAAGACATCATATTATAATACTGATGATATATAAATAAAAAATAGACAAAAATTATAGCTACTTATTTCTATTTGATCAGATGTCCAAATGAACAAATATTAAAAAAATTACTTCGATATAATTTGTTTCTTTCAGGTTGCTAATATTCCTGCTTGTCTGTTAGGGACAGCTAATGTACAAAAAGAAAAAACATATAAAGAGATAAGTGAAAATAAATACAGACTGGTATATCTAACTCCTGAATTTTGTGCTGGTGAAAGAGGAACAGGTAGGGCCTCTTTAATGTTCGCGAAAGTTAAGCATTCATTCTATTTTGATTTTCTAGAATTACTTCATGAATGGAGTAACACATTACCGCTAACACTAATCGCTATAGATGAGGCTCATTGCGTTAGTAGTTGGGGTCATGATTTTAGGGCTTCGTACAGAAAATTGGGAGAATTAAGAAATCTAATTCCAGATGTACCAATATTAGCAGTTACAGCGACAGCCACTGAAAAAGTTAGAATAGATATTATAAAAACTTTACAATTAAGGTATTTAAATCAACATTATTATAACTTATTGATAGGGTGACCGTACCTACAACATTTCACTGTATCGTACAGCTTTTTCAAAGTCTGTCCAGGCATTTGATCTTGTACAGCAAAACGCTGAATTTTTCCAGCAAAATTCCATTATTGTCCAGCAATGTAATACATAATATACTGAAACGTAACAAACAAGACAAAAACGTACTCTGTTTTTGTATTTATCTTTGAAGAGCTAAAAAGAAAATTCACTGTTTTTGATTTATCTTTGAGGGAACATTGAGTCAGAAGAAATATGGTCACCCTACTAACTGATCTGAAACAATCAGAAACTATTTCTGGTATGATAACAATGTTTAGTTTTAGTTGTTTGAAAAATAATGTATCTAACCCATTATCTAAAATTACTATTTTTTTTTAGAAACCCCCAATTTTCTTCTACCAGTTTTGACAGACCCAATTTTTATTTTGCTGTTAACCACAAAAGTGATATGCCTGAAAGTGATTTTAGAAAGATTATGGAACACCGTGGTTCTAAATGGAAATTTTCTGGACCTACCATAGTTTATTGTATTACTAGAAAAAAAACGGAAGAGTTAAGTGCCATGTTAGAAGGTAAACTTAATTATTTTTTCATGTTTCAATTAAATATTAAAAAAAAAATTATAATTTCAATCTATAACAGAACTGACCAGAAAATAATGTTATTAAAATATAAAAGTTTTCTTGAGGTTTTATTTAACAATTATATTTTCGGAATGTGACTTTAGTATACAGTTAGTACTGATCTAGTAGAGATTTGTAGAGTAATACTAGATTTTCTAGATTCCGAACTTAAATTATTGTTTTGTAAACTCCAGTGACATCCTTAGAACTTTGTTTTTTGTTTAAATACTGACTTTTTGGGTGAATAACTAGTCTCAACCTTTTAATCTTGTTTTTAATAATAGCATAGCGCTCTTACATTCTAATTGTCTTGAATACTTCTCTATAATACAAGAATATATTTTTTTTAGAAATGGGATTAAATTGTGCTCCATACCATGCCGGCTTACATATTAAAATTCGCAAAGAAACCCATGAAAAATTCGTAAGAGACGAACTTGACGTAATAGTAGCGACCATAGCCTTCGGTATGGGCATAGACAAACCTGACATAAGAAATGTCATACATTATGGAATCTCAGACAGCATAGAATCTTACTATCAAGAAGTCGGCAGAGCCGGACGAGATGGTCAACCTGCGAATTGTATTTCTTTCTATAGTAATGACGATTTTAGAATGCACGCGTAAGAATATTTATTTATTTATTATATGGAGTGATCCACAAAAAAATGTTTCTGCAGTAGTCTTTGGAAAAAAACGCGAATGTCGCATCCTACAATTTACAGTTATTACAAATATGACCCATATATCTATCTTAATCAGTCATGGCCTACTTCAAAAACATTTTTTGTGCATCACGCTGTATAAAAATTGATTCAGTCGTATGAATTTGACAGTTGAGGGTAATTTAAAGGTCAAGAAAGAAATAGTACTGTATATCTCACAAGATATGTATATTTTTTTAATTATGACTGGTTTTAAACTTATTTACTTCATCTTCTAGTATACCTAGTGTAAGAAAGAGAATATATGCAGGATGTCCCAAAAAAGTATCCCTTAATCATTGATCCTATGAATCTTTATACAGGGTGTTATTGAAATACACGTACATATTAAAACTGGGTATTGCGCAGATCCCCACTGAATGTAGAAAAATATTATTTTTTAAAAATACCCTTTATTAAGGGAGTTATTAATTTTTGAAAATTAATTCTAAAACAAACGTACTTCACTGATATGTTGAGGATGACCTATATAAATTAGGTTTATTTACCTATTTTAAACATCAACAGTAATTAATATGCAAGTTTTTGTCAGATGATAAGAAAACTAGTCTTGTAAGAAATAACCATGTTGCCAAGATTTTCGAATTAATTTCCGAAGACTGGTTTTTACTACCCTCGTTATCAAAAAACTAGAATATTTGATAAATGATTGTTTTTAAACTATACATTTTTGAAACTATAGATTATTAAAATTTTAGTTGATTTACGAATCTGGCTAACACGAGCGCGTCATTTCCAAGTTGGTAAAAAGTGTTGTTACGATTACTTTTAAATATTTTTTTACGATGCCACTATTTACGAATATTGAACTAACGGATATAGTGCTGGTTTATGGGGCAGCTGGAGAAAATTCTCGGCAAGCACAAATCCTGTATCGCGAACGGTTTCCAAATCGGAGAATTCCGGACTGTCGTACGTTTATTTCAACTGTTCAGCATCTAAGAGACCATGGAAAATTTGAGAGTGTCAATGCAGATCGAGGGAGAACAAGAACACAAAGAACATTGGCGGCCGAAGAAGAAATATTGGAAGCTGTTGAAAACCGGCCTCAATTAAGTTGTAGAAGACTAGGTCTTGAAATTGGAGTGTCCTCATTTGTTGTGTGGCGGACACTTAAAGAACAAGGTTTACATCCTTATCACATCCAAAAAGTCCAGGCCTTATATCCAGGTGATGAAGAAAAGAGTGGAGTTTTGTGAATGGATGATTCAAAAATGTGTTGATATTCCTGATTTTCTAAAAATATTATTGTATACTGACGAGGCTTCATTCACTCGTGATGGCGTGTTCAATATGCACAATACGCATATTTGGAGTGATGAAAATCCTCACGCCATTAGGGAAACTGGGCATCAAAGAAAATTTTCAATAAATGTTTGGGCTGGCATAATAGATCAGTATTTAATCGGGCCTTATGTTCTCCCGAACAGATTAAATGGGCCAGGATATCTCCACTTTTTAGAAGATATTTTGCCAGTACTCCTAGAAGAGATACCGTTACAATTAAGGCAACGGATGTGGTACCTACTAGATGGCGCTCCTCCTCACTTTGATTTAAACGTACGGCAGTTTTTGAACATTAGATTTCCTCAAAAGTGGATAGGCAGAAATGGACCTACTAAGTGGCCTCCGAGATCTCCGGACTTAAATCCATGCGATTTCTTTTTGTGGGGTCACATGAAGCAACTAGTTTATAATGAACCTATTAATAGTGTTGAACAATTAACCAATAAAGTTAATGCGGTAGCCGAGGAACTACGACAAAATCCAAGACTAATTTCTAATGTTCAAAGTTCTTTGGAAAGACGATTGCAAGTGTGTGTAAATAATAATGGACGGCATTTTGAACAATTACTGTAATAAACTTTATTTTGAATTAATTGGTTTTGCTACGGCAACAGTGCAATTTCTATGGGTAAGTTCAATTTCGATTTATTTTACTTCTTTAAATATGGAAACTAGTAGGTCGGAAAAGGGGACTCTTCCCCAATATTTAAATTTTAGAATTTGAAGTTAAAATTGGTGCCAATCGTTTTTGGTCATTACATACTATTCCCCATTTTAATATGTACGTGTATTTCAATAACACCCTGTATTTTAGGAGCCACTAAAATACATACTTGCACACAGGCAACCAGCAAAGCAAATTTGCGACTGTTCGTATTATTGTTTGTATTGTTTTTAAATTGTATTAGCTGTGGCTTGGTATTTATTTTCCCAATAGGAAACTCGAGAAACGCTAAAATGGTGGTTCCCACCTTATCGAGATCGAGGTCCACTAGGGTAAACTCGTAGCGTAAAAAAAACTAGAAATGATTTAAATTGGAACGAAAGACCGAAAGCCGATAATAGTATTAGGACGTGGAATTTTTTGGTTTATGAAGCATTGGCATTACTTAGTTTAAACCATGTGATAATTTTCACAAGCCTTGATTTTTAAAACCATTCTATATCTCCTTTTGATTAGGGTTTACAAACTTGTTCGAGCAATTTGTCCAATAATAATTGGCCCGTTTACCTATTAAGCTTGCGCATGGAAAATATTTGGGCTCCTTACTTCGCCTATTTATATAATATTAATAAAGGACAGAAGGATGAGTATTGCAACTATTTTAAAGGAAATAAATTGGCTTTTAGTTCAGAATTATGTTCAGTACATGACTAATATTTATTTATAAAATAAAAATGGCATAGTACTATCGCATCAGATTTATTAAAAAAAATTCAGTATAACTCGCAATATCACAACTATAACATAAGAAGCCAATCTGACTTTCATGTACGACAAGCCATCACTAAAGGTTCCCAAAATACAATTTTTATTAAAGGTTTGCAAAAATTTAATAGACTATCTACAGAAATTAAAAAAAAAAATAAATGCATTCAAAAGTAACCTCAAACAATACTTGATAAATAAACAGAACTGATATACTTTCTTGTGATAATACTCTTTAAACCTGCCCTTTAATTATTTCCTTTAATTTATTGCTATTTTACCCTTCGTTTTACCCATATTTATTATAAATTATTTCTATTTTGAGATCATGTACTTTATTTTAAAAAATTACTTGATGTTATATTAATACTACCTACTATGTTTAAATTGTTAATAGTTTTGTGACTATAGGTTATAGCAACTTATAGCCACAAAACTATTGTTGTGTTAAAGTAGATCCATAGAGAGCAATATAATTTACAAAGGCCTTCTTTCAACATACAAATAAATGGCAGATTTTTGTTTAAGATTTATGAATATTTGAGCATAATTCTTTTGAAGGCAGGCAGAAATATGATTTTTCCTGCGACATTATTTTCAAGGAATATTCATGTTACTTATAAATATCTATATTAGAAGTTAGATCAAGTAGTACAAGACATTTTTTAACTGACTGATGATGATTAAAAATACTATTACAAAAAAAAAATAAAAAAATAATCCAAAAAAATAACAACAAAAGTTTTAGGTTGGGGTAACCCTTCCCAAAAACCTTCTTACACTTGAACCATTACATTATATGAAATTCACTCTTATGAAAAATATATAGATAATGAAAATAATTAATTAAATAAATATATCTTACTACTGCAAATAATAATAATAATAATAAATTTATTGATATAGGTATACAAATAAAATAATAACAATTGTATTAGTTTAACACCAAACAAGGGCGGACACCAGCCTAAGCAACTTAATGCTTGTTTTACGATGCCAGTCCTGTTTAGTGCTTTACAAAATATTATACTTGTTCTAAATATAATAAACTAGATTTAAATATTAAAATAATAACAGAGATAGCTGAAACAGTTCTAATTAATACTAAAGAAAAATAATTAAATATGAAGAAAGAAAGTAATGTAGAATGTAATGTAGGAGATGGAAAATTAAATCAAGAACGGTTTATATATTGTTTAATTTTTAATTTACTAAAGTATTTTTTTTTATATTATATTTAGTTTATCGGGGTGATTTATTAAGAAATTTTTAACGTCTATTTTATAGATTTTAAATTTTTTTATTTGTTTTAGGTTAGCGGGTAAGAGATTATATAATTTTGGACCATGGTAAAAGTATGAATTTTGGGTAATTGATTTTTTAAAGGCTTCAGTTCTTATATTTAAGTTTGTTGCGGATCTAGTTTTTGTATAATATTGGGGTGTTTTATCTTGTTCATTAAATATTCGTAGTAAGCATTGGTAGATGTAGTGATTTTGTATATTAAAAAGTTCTGTTTCTTTATATAGTAGTGCAGTTGAGAACATTTTGTTTTTTTGAAAAATTATCTTTATTAGGAGGTTTTGTGCTACTTGTAATGTGTTTAGTGTTGTTTTATATGCTCCACCCCAAATAGTTATGCAGTATTTTATTATAGACTCTGCTAATGATGTATATAATATAACTAGATTTTTTTTTGAAAGAATTTCTCTAAGTTGATAAAATGTATGCATTAATACTCTTATTCTTTTTGCTACATATGTAATATGTTCCGTCCATTTTAGGTGCTGATCTACGATCACTCCGAGATATTTAATTGATGTAGTTTTCTCCAAATTTTCACAATCGCATGTATTATTATGTTGAGGACATTTTGGGCAGTGTAATTTTATATTTATATTATTTGGCTGATCTACTATTGTTGGTGAAAAAGTAATATATTTAGTTTTTTTAATATTTAGAGTTAATAAATTATGGTTGAGCCATATATGTAACCTATTTAGTTCTGTTTCTGCAGTTTGTGTTACATTTTCCCAATTTTCCCCAGAAAATGTTATAGCTGTATCATCGGCATAGCACACTAGTTGTCCTTTGAAATTTGCGTGATACTATTCATATATATTACGAATAAAATCGGCCCTAACACTGTTCCTTGTGGAACACCTGTTTCTACTTTATTGTC